AGATGTGTATAAGAGACAAGACAGCATGACATTATATCAATGTAATACCCTTTTTAATTGAAACTTGGATTAACAGTGCATTATGAGGCACCATAAAACTTTACGATTTTCTTTCTAGGAAAAGTCAGCATGCAGGAGGCTGCCAAGTTTAAACATTTACACGTTGTGGGAATGGTGAGTATTTCTGTATTTCAGTTTGTGTCACATTATAGTATGGTTGGAAAGCTTAGTCACAGTAGGCCTTAAAGAAGTACCAAAGTAAGAACCAACAGATGTGGAAATAGTGAAATTCTACAGTAACTAAATGCAAGCTACAGTATGGCGAGATTTTTTATACTTTGTTTAGTGAAGCCTCTGACTGTCAGCAATGGTGATTTTGAATAAAAATAAAATGTTGTTTTTGGCCACTTAATGCACCTTTTGCTACAAAAAAATAATTTAGCTAAACAAGAAAATTTTTTTTTTTTCTGCTCTATGACGGTCTTTAAACAAGTTTGCTAAACAAGGTATTCAAAATGTCTCGCCTATGCTATGCTCAAGTTCAATTATGTTGGAGTACAGGCTTAATAAACAGCTGGATATGCCTCTGTGTAAGCTTAATTTACAGCTGCAAGTTCTATCTGCAGGCCTAACTCAACAGATGGAAAATTCACAAAAACTGCAAGCAGCAGCAAGAGGGATTTAGCGATGATTGTTTACAGGCGGTCACGTGACCTAACTTGGGTATACATGAAAAACATTACAGTGCAATAGCATTGGAAAAGATGTTATGGTTGCGAAAGAGAGCAGCTTAGCTCAGTCGGCTAATCTGGTGGTAGCCGCTGTGTGTGCGCTGAACCGTGGAAATCTCTAGGTCCCCGGTTCAATTCCCATCGCTGCCTCTCCTTGTGTTTCAGCTAGAGGGCTGAAATACAAGTTACTAGCGCACCGTCTTTCGGATGAGACGTTTAAGCCGTTGGTCCCGTTTGCATTACGGCCCATGTGCACGTTAAAGAACGCAGTCCACTCTTCGGAAAAGAGTAGGGGATTGTCTCCCGGTGTACTGCCCAATCACCACCAGAAGGACCCCACTGGAAATAAGTATTCTTCTAGACTTTCGTGGGCTATCCTTGGTGTTTACACCAAATAAATCCAATCCAATCCAAACAACCACCCACTGTTAACGTGAGAAGTAAATGGCTAGGAAAGGCAATACTTTCGTTTAAAATAGTGTTTATTTACTTATCCTAGCATTTTCCTTGGATTGTATGCTTTGAAATTTAAATGATCCTTCATAAACCTTAGCTGGCCCTAACATCGCAGCGTAGTTCGCGGGTTGAATGCCATTGATGTGCAGGGGCCTAGGCCTAATATTTGTCAAAAAATCTCAATGTTCTGGCTAGTATCCTTTACAGCATTAGCAAACCATTAAGGCAAAATTCTTAAGTTTAATTTCCAATCAATTTGGTATAGTTTACTGGGAATTATGATGGTCTTTACAGCAATAAACAAGGGATGGCCGCGATAGCAATCTCCATGTAAAACACCGCTGTGTCAGTGGATTTTTTATATCCAACACCGAAGTTCAGTAACATGATGCCCATCGCTAAATCCCTCTATTTTAAAGTTTCAGTTGATATTTATGCTTTCAATGGGGTCTAAAACAGAACGTCCGGGGGAATATATATATTGTCTTATTATTTTGATTATTCTTAGGTTGGATCGATTGATAATGATTTTTGTGGGACTGACATGACCATTGGCACTGACACTGCTTTACATAGGATCATTGAGGCAGTTGATGCAATCAGCACTACTGCTCAGAGGTAAGGATTAATGACAGTAATAATAATTATGATGTCATCACTTTCATTTGCACATCATTTTTGTATCCCCAATCAAGCACTAATTCGATGTAGTTCCTCCAATTGTTCCCGTCTTGTGTGCAAAAAGGTCAATTAACGCTGAGGTTTTACATCGTGATGTATATATTGTTGCTAACCTAGATCTGAACACACACAACGGACCTAGCACATCATGCTCAACAACAAAACACGAATGAAGCCGAGACCACCAATCTAGGCAAGGCCTAAAAAGGCATATGGTAATGAGATAACCAGGCAATTAACTTATAAATAGACTGAAAAGAGAAGGCAATGCTTAAATAATTCATAATAGTGTTTACAATACAGTTTAATCTACAGTATTAAGCTAATGTCTAATGGTGGTTAGGCCTACGTAGACTTCAACAACAACATATTGCGAAGAGTGTCAGAGCATGTACTACTGTTAGTAAATTATTCTCATACTTGCAGCTAATGCACACGCTCAGTTAACATAATTGATCAGTAAGAAACCTGTCACAGCAACCTGGCAGTTTGACTGAATATAAATACAATTATATGAAACAGGGTGACTCATTTATAAAACGATTATAGTCAAGTTATTTCAGACACTGATAGCGGCAGATTGGCGCAGCGGTTGAGGTTCGGGCTTTCAATCGTAAGGTCGGGGTTTCGAGTCTCTGCTGTGCAGATTCGCTTGTGTCCTTGGGCAAGGCACTTTAGCTACATTGCTTCAGTCCACCCCACTGTATCAATGGGTACTAGCAAACTGCTGGGGACTAACCTGCGACGGACTAGTGTCCCATCCAGGGGGAGTACAACTCTCATCCGCTTCACACTACAGAAACTGGGGATAAGCTCCAGCCCTATGAGCCCTTGTGGCTCGGAAAGGATTTAGTAATATTTCAGACACTATAGAAAATAGGAGCCTGTTAACTGCCAGGCCTTTTTTTAGGTTCCTTCCTATGTGCCAGAACAAGTATACATGTAAAAACATACTTTTTTGAAATTCTATCTAGTCATATACATCATCAAAATGGTGTGTCTAATAAATTGGCGGGAAAATATTAGGGGACAATTGAACTGGTTGCTGGCACTGAGACAGGATTTTTTATTTTGCAAATTGCGAGTTTTCTCGTCCGCTTTTTGCATGGGTTGGTATATGTTCAGAGGGTGCCCCCGCTTGTGCAATTGAGTGTACTGCTGGCAAGATAACACAACAAGCATACATCCATTATTTGTATGTTATCGTCTAGGTGTATCTTCCCCGAACTACAAGCCGTCAAGTCAGTGTTTTTCCAATGTATAATAGAGAAGAAATAAATGCTAGAATGTTACCCTGATTTTGACTAGCGCCCTCAGCAACACACTATGGACGAGTATACTCATCGCTTGCAACCAGCGTGTTAATAGGATTTTCTTCAAAAATTGCCTGAAGCTGAAATAATGGCTCCTTCGGCTTCTATTTTCTATTGGGTTCTCAGAACTTGACTATAATTGCATGCTAGTACTCATAGCTCACCAGTATCCATTTAAGGGAAAGCTGTAAGGAATGTTGACTTCACAAGTGCATATTTAAAGACATCAGACGCTGTGCTCTTTGAAGTTCAGCCTTTAATCCATTCAACAAATTGGGGGCAAAATTTCCGATTAACTTATTGGCAAACCTAAGATTAATCACAACCTGTAGAATATGGCATTATGTAGGCTGGGGATTAGTTGTTGAAGTAATGGTAATGATGATAATAATAATAATTAATATGTTGATGATGTGAATTGCTGATAATTAAATAATGACGACAACAATTAGTCACATAGTACAATTGAACTTTTTTGCTGTTTGTAGACAAAACATTTGTTTATTTATCCGTGAACTAGAAAATTATTTAATGTGTGTATGTATTGCAGTCATCAGAGAACTTTCATCCTAGAAGTGATGGGTCGCCATTGTGGATACCTTGCTCTAGTTGCAGGGTTGGCTAGTGGTGCTGATTGGATATTCATTCCAGAAAAACCGGCAATGGAAGGCTGGGAAGACGTTTTATGCAATAAACTCTATGAGGTTAGTGAGCATCTTATTTTTCAGTTTATTTATGTTTAAAAAAATTACAGAATTACAGTGAGCACAACACTTGATATATACCGTATACATAGGTCCTTAGTATTTGATTTGTTTGATTATTTGTACTAATTGCATTACAATAACCATGGCCATGGCATGATTTTGACCATATTTTTAGGGAATGCTAATTCTATATCACAGAATCAGTATTTTTGTAGTTACTTCTTACATCGCAAGAGCTAGCAGAACTTTGCATTTCTGCTATGGCACAGACTTTGCTTTATCTGTGCTATAGGTCTAGGCCAAGAAGTAGGACATTTGCAACAACATCTTAACAACGGAATGGTCTATTAACAGATAGGCCAAGAACAATAGGAAACCAAGAAGAGCATGGTCAAAAACAAAATAGACTAACTCAATAAAGATATACTATATCTCTTAAAATTATGAAAAACTATTTAAAAATGAAATTCATTTAAAACATGTTTTTTCAAGGTATTTGCCATCATTTGTAGATTTATGGTTGTAATTTTAACTAAACTTTCAGACTCGCGGATATGGTCAGCGTTTGAACATCTTGATCCTTGCAGAGGGTGCTATTGATCTGAAAGGTCATCCAATAACTGCCCAGTATGTTAAAGAGGTCAGTAATTTGCAGACATACCAATTAACAGTATATGAATTATGGTATTGGTAGAGAAAATTAACATTCAATCCAAATTCACAAAATTAATTAGTATGTAATATTTTATTTTTAAAAAAATTGCTTATCAATCTATTCATCTATTCTTCATTTCCATTCTGCCATTTATGTGCTAATCCTCAGCTTATCAGAGCTTATAGTAATTGACCCTCAAGAAAAACACCCTTTTTATTTTGAACACATGCCATTCATCCAATCTACATATCCCATTCAACCATCCTATCCATTCATTTCAGACGCCTGTCTAACCACCCATTTGACCATCCATCCACCCGTTTTTCCATCCACCAGTCCATCCATCCACGTGTCCATCCATCTAATCATTTGTCCATCCGTCCACCCATCAATCAGTCTATCCATCCATTCATCCATCCATCTTTCCATCCCTTTGTTCATCCAGCTGTTTGTCCGTCCATCAATCCATCCATGTAGATTTATCAATCCATCCCACATTTCTGTCCCATCTATCTCATTTATCTCACAAATTCTATCCTTCCTTTTCATTCATACCATCTATCCATTTACCATCCATCTATCCTTACAACAATGTATCAATCTTTTCCCATTCATCCACTATAATCATCCCTGCGGTGAAAATGTCATTCTTTCTTAGTTTCCAAAATAGTAACATTGATAAATATATAATCTACAATATTTCAGTTGCTTTTCTTTTCAGTTAATTGTTCAACGACTGAAGTTTGATACAAGAATAACCGTCCTTGGGCACGTGCAGAGGGGAGGCAGTCCATCTGCATTTGATAGAATTCTGGTAAGGGGGTGAATTGAAGCTGTAGTTTAGATGTGGTGAAGATATTTTTTTGGTGATATATTCTGGAAAAATCCTCAAAAATGCAAATGAAACATTCTATGATTCATTTAAAGCGTTTCAAATAAATTATATAGACAGATCTATAAATACAATTTTGTTTTCTCATTTAGAGAATGTTTTTTATGGAAATTGTTAAAATGTATACCAGTCATTTAAAAGTATATTCAAAGAATATATAAGTAACATTTGATATTATTTGTGCAATGCTAGTGGAATGTAATTTAAATTTGATTAATGTGTAAGTATTTTAACTTCCTCTGTCTCTGGTGCTGCATTGTCACTGTGGTTGTTCTGCCAAATAATTACATCGATAATAACTGCATATTTCTTATAAGAACTAATAATCAAAATTAATTAGTCATCATATTTAAATTATGGACTATATTATTATAATTATTATTATTATTATTATTATTATTATTATTATTATTATTGTTATTACAGTAAACACATTTATCAATAATTTTATGTTGCATATAATTATTAATCCATGACATAAATATTTTATTTTTATACTTTGAATATTTATATACTATGTTTAATCTGTAAGTTTAATATTTTTACAATCCTTTTCTTTTAATTTTATTGTTTAACTCATATCTAAATTGAATTTAATATTTTGGCTCTCTTTTGCATGTAATGTCTTTTTTTGATTATACTATATTCTTTATAATCTTGATGTAAATAATTATTAATTTTATGAATGCAAATTTTATTTTATATATTGTATATAGTATTGATGAGATAATAATTTTGTAGTAATTGAATTTTAATGTTTCTTAAATTGAATGTTTATTTTTCTAAAATGTAATTTGATGTTTTTATCCATTTCTTTGATTTTGTGTATGTTATTGTTGTATTTATATATATAACTATTGTAAAATACCATTGCCATTCGCCCCTTCTGCAAGAATGTATTTTTATTTGAATTTAATTAAATATGTGTGGTAAATACATTGAAATTTATCAATGTAGTGATGATGACGAAAATTTAAATGATGAAGCATACACAATGAAATGTATTTTTTTGTGATAGATATTTTTAACCGTAATTTTTTATTAATTGGCTTTCAGGGCTGTCGAATGGGAGCTGAAGCAGTGTTAGCACTTGCAGATGCTAAGCCCGAGAGTCCTGCATGTGTTGTGTCGCTCTATGGTAACAAAGCAGTCCGTGTACCTCTCATGTCTTGTGTAGAACAGGTATGTTAAAAATCATTTAGTTTTATGAGATTTATAAACAGAAAATTAGATTGTACCAGGAAAAAGTGCCCAATCTCAAACCCTGTTGAACCCACAAATGTGAAAACGCTCAGAATGTAATAACAACCACAAATGTGACAACACACCGCCCACAAATGTAAAAAACAGGGCCCACAAATATGATAACGATCATCGCCCACAAATGTGATAGCGTCCACAAATGTGACCTGTTGTTGAAATGTAATAATTTTCTTTTAACTACGAACGTGGAGCCAAGACTAAAAAACAACCCACGTGTCTTCAATTGGGCGATGGATTTTAGGCCTTGGCTGGCTAGCGTCAGTCCTTCCTACCTAGCTTACAAAACGACTAGGCCTAGCTAGACGAGAAAGACTAGCACACTCGTACGTATGCCTATTAAAAATAGTTATTGTACAAACAAATCTGTTTTACAAACAACCAGTTTCCTTGGTTTGACAACATACGTTAAATTTAGTTTCTGCTATAGCATGTTTCAGTCAAAGTTTTGACTTTCCAGGCGGTTTTTGAAGCAAAGAAATCTAGGCCTAGGTCGGCAGAAAATTGCTGTCCTGTGGCAATTCTGGCTAGGCAATATGGTCGGCAGTTGCCGATTGCCGACATGAACTTCATGGGCTAGATATACGAGCCGTGCGAACAACAAAAACAATGGGAGACCTATTTTCTAAACGCTGGGACGGGTTAAAGTTTGATCCGAGGTTATAGGAGAGGCTATGTATTTTTCGGAGAGAAAATTAACTTTTTACAACCAGCGGTTGTCGAAATACGGATGGAATTCACTTTCATCGTTTTTCAACACATTTGTCATTTCGTCAGTAACTATGATTATTGAAAAAAAATATGGCAACTATTTTGAATTTTTGAGCTTATTCGAGCGAATTTCATGAACGAGGGAAATTCAATAATTTTGCTTACAGTATTTGACCTTAAATAACCTGAAAACTGTCACATCTGGTACCGTAAGCTTCTCCATCAGTGCAAGGACTTATAACGAAGTTCACATTTGAAAAATAAGAACCAATTTTTACAGCATGCATAATGAGCATAATGATTTATTTTAAAAAATTATTAGTATTTGAGGTAAAATGAACCTTAACCCCTCCCAGACATTTAGAAAAGGGCTCACTGTTCGCACACTTCATAGATTAAGTGTCAGAAAATGTCATACTTCTGTCACAAAATGCATGGTTTGACCATTTTGGGGTCTTAGCTATTCCATTCAAAATTTAAAGAAAATTATTACATTTGTGGATGAAGATATCCTGTTTTGTCATTACATTTGTGGGCATTATCACATTTGTGGGCAATGATTGTTATTACATTTGCGGGTGCTGGTTGTTACATTTGTGAGCATTATTACATTTGTGGGCATTATTACATTTGTAGGCGGTGTGTTTTTAAGTACATTTGTGGTTGTTATTACATTTGTAGGCGTTTTCACATTTGTGGTTTCGAACAAACCCCCATCGTAAACCACAAGCTGTACCAATGTGCACATACTTCCATGCTAATTTTGGATTTGCTGGTTGGTAATTAGTGTGAAAGTAGACATTAATCTAAGCAATGGAACATACCAGTTACTAATATGAAAATATTGTGTATAAAAGCTTTTTTTAAACAAAGAGGGCAGTATTGATAATATTCATCAGAGAGAGCAGTTTAAGTTCCATGATTGTTGCATGTCTTTATATTTATTGGATTAGATTACTTTGGTGTGATACGCACGATGGATAAACCACGAAATGTCCGACTTTTTTTTTCCATTGGGTCCTTCTTGTGGTGAATTGGGCAGTACACAAGGAGACAATCCCCTACTCTTTCCTACTCTTTTCCATTGGGTCCTTCTTGTGGTGAATTGGGCAGTACACAAGGAGACAATCCCCTACTCTTTTCCATTGGGTCCTTCTTGTGGTGAATTGGGCAGTACACAAGGAGACAATCCCCTACTCTTTTCCATTGGGTCCTTCTTGTGGTGAATTGGGCAGTACACCAGGAGACAATCCCCTACTCTTTTCCAAGTCTACTGCGTTCTTTAATGTGCACATGAGCCATTTTGGACACAGGACCAACGGCTTAAACGTCTCATCCAAAAAAGATGGTGCACTTTTGAAACTTGCATTTCAGCCCTCCAGCTGAAACACAAGGAGAGCAGCGATGGGTGTTGAACCAGGGACCAGAAGATCTCCGCGGTTCAGTGCATGCACAGTGGCTACCACCAAGTTTAGCCTACTAAGCTAGATGCTCTCNCTTATATATATATATATATATATATATATATATATATATATATATATATATGTTGTTGTTCATAACTTTTGTACATTTTAAATAATTTTAATGTTTTACACTATGTATATGAACAAGGTTTTTTTGGATGAATAAATATTACTTTTTTTTTTTTTAAATTTTTGTTAAATTAAGTCAGTAAGCACATCTAGATAATAATAATGATTATTATTTTAATTTTGAAAATTCCAGTGGCTTTATTTATGCTAACTTATTGCAACAATGATTATGGAAATGGACTTGTATAACGCCATACATAATTAGGATTTGTCTCAAAGCGCTTACAGAATATGAAAAATAAAACTAACCTATGAACTATGCTCAAACTAATCAGAAACAATTTACCAAAGATTCAAGTTAAAAATGAACTAAGCCGTTCTCCAGCAATTTGAGACACAAGGCCAGCTAGAACAGTACTCACAGGTGCTCTAGTGATACATGTGACTAATCTCACCTATCATAAAGGAAGAAACAAAAACGCGAAAATAAAAAAAATAAAAAAACGAAAAGTAAACAAATATGATGATGATATAAATTATGATGAGTAAAACATTTATGTAGCATTATCGTGATTATGATATTTGTAATATTTTAGACGCAAGAGGTAGGGAAGGCTGTACAAGAACAAGAATTTGAGACTGCAGCTTCTCTTAGAGGAAAGTAAGTAGACTCAGTGGGAACATTAGATAATCTAAATTACCTGATATTATCATTAAAAAATAGAACATAAATGTCTAGGCTAGACCAATGATTGATCACCCTCTATCAGTCTGTACAGAACTTTCATTCTTCCCATCACATTTAAAGTGGCAGTTCTACATGTTATAATTCATCCTTCTAAGACCATTTAAAATGTAAATATCCTAAATATTGTAACTATTTTCTGAGACTGGCACCGAAGCCTGCCACTTAAGCCGAATACTCACTGCACCAGACAGTTGTCGTCGATTCTATAAAGAACGCAACGCGATTAGGCACACGCAACTGAACATTTTTCATGACGGTCCGTTCTGACACTGGCAATCAGAAGACGGCGTTGCATCATCTGGCGCTCACAGGGAGCAGAGTTGGATTTGTTGTATGAACGTTGTACGATGCATTGAGTACTCTGTTTCACTTGCAAAGTCTGCTGAGCTCTTTTATAGATTCACATGATATTAAAGTTACCAGGTGACCCAACTTTGAGCTTTGCTTAACTTGTTAACATGTGACTGCCAGACCTCTTTTTAAGGTTCCTTCCCAAGTTTACATTTACCAGCATAATTTTTTTGAAATTTTATCTAGTCATATATCATCAAAATTATGTGTCTAAAATAAATAAAGTGCGAGTTATCTCGTCCACTTTTTGCATGGGTTGGTATATGTTCAAAGGGCGCCCCCACTTGTGCTGCCCGGGTGTACTACCGACAACACAACAAACATGCATACATCATTTATACATTATTGTCTAGGTGTATAGCCCGAACTACTAGCTGTTGAGTCTGTGGTTCCACAATGTATAACAAAGAAGTTATAAACGCTAGAATGTTACCCCTATTTTGACGAGTACACTCGATCCTGGTGCCCTCAGCAACACCCTGTGGGCGAGTATACTCGTAACTGGCAGCCAACGTGTTAACACACCATTAAAAAAAATTATACTATTATATTTATTCACCTTTGGTGAATAAACATGAAACATAAATAAGATTACTAATGATATGTTCTTGCAGTATTGACTGTGTATTCTCATGGCTAATTCTTTGTGCTTTGAAAACTGCCTTTAATATTATCATGTTCGCCTGTGGTGGCCATTAACTCTAACGAGGACATGTGTTTTTTTAATTGGTCAATTAACTGCTTCCAGTTGACCTCTTCTCAATGCATACACAATGGATTGGGTCATGCAAAGCATATACTGTATTTTGCTTGTACTGCCTCACGAGGCAGAATTCGCACTGAAAATTACGTGCACACGAGTGGATTTCGTTGTCTGCACGCGAGGCTGGGAGCTGAGCCAAATTCCCTTGCGTTCATCAGGCTTAAATAGAACGACCATTACCTGATTGAGTTTGATAAATGTTGAAGATTACATACTGATAGCCTGAGATAAGTGAACAGCTGGGGAGGTGTTGTCTCTCTATGGATGATAAGATATTACCACAGATATAACCTGATGAAGACTGTTTCATCTTAAGTTTAAAAAAACAGAGTTTTTAAGATAAATTTAAATGTCATCACAGGCAGTTTGATTTGTTGATAATCCAGATGATAATGAGTCTGGCTTAAGTTTAAGCTCGGTAATGTTCTGGAGATGTGGTGACATGACGATAAACAGCTTGAGAAAAAAATCATCAATAGACTAAATTGTATAAGTCTGTAAATTCAAAACGATACTGTTTTTGCATTGTAAGCAGTCATCCCTCAATCCAATATAGTTGTTGCCAAATTTCTCAAAATGTATTGATTTGTAATTTTTTAAAACCTATTTTATAAATTTAAAGATTGAACAAATTTGTTCCTAACTATACTCTGGCCGATCAAATGGAGTGATAAGTGTAGGCATAGTAGTAACTAGGGGCCTCAGCAAGGTAGTCATACGAAATACGAAGAACTTTATTGCAATCTCTCATTCAAAATTGAAGTTTAACAAAAGGGGAGAAAAAACATTACAAAACAACATCACAAACCCACTAAACACATAAATAATCTACAATAAGGCATTACAATTAATTAGGCAACATTAATTAAAAATTCAAGTACAAAAATAAATAATTCGCTAATTAATTAAAATTTAAATGACATTTTATTTACAATTAAGTTAAAAAATTATTGCAACAGGTAATCTATAAAAAAATTTAGACAGACACCTAAACCAACCAAAAAAACTGACTCGCGAAAAATATAAGGAAAAACTCATTTAAAAAGACCTCGCCAGAGAGGAGGACCCCGGGTGTACAGGGACGACCTACCAGTTATTGAACAAACCAATATTTGTTATAAAATTCTTCAAACGCTTGGTTTTTATTCTAGGGAGAGAAAATTCACGTTGACATCTTAGGTTGTAATGCTTCTCCCTAGCTTTAGGCAAAAGATGATTTAGCCTATGCGTTGAGATTTTGAGCTTCTGGAAATAGTCCCTGCACAACCGGGTGCGCTTCTCTGACAATATAGGGATATTTAAAAAGGACCTTGCACATTCGTAACTAACGCCAGGTAAAATAACCCCTAAAGCCCTACTTTGGATTTGTTCAAGCTGTTTACTCTGTGTTTCAGTGATACAAGTTCACCAAACTGGAGTTGCGTAAAATAAAAAGAGCAACATAATAGCGAAACACACCCGGGACACATAGGCCAGATCTACGTAATCGTTTAAGGAAATACATTCTGGTATTAACCTTGGAAATCATAGTATCCACTTGCAATTGCCAAGACAGGTCACTCAAAATATTAAGACCTAAGAGTTTGCACGAATTAACGTTGTTAATTATACTGTTATTAATACTGAGAGGGTCAAAATTCGGATTTATTAGGTTTGCAGCTAATTAGCATTTCAACAGTTTTATTGGTATTGATAACCATATGATTATCAAGAGTCCAGTCAACTGCCATATCAAGAATTGACTGGAGCCCACTAGATCTGTCTCTGCCAACGCGCTCATAGACGGTAGTGTCATCCATATATTTGATGCACGACACTCCGGCCATGAGGTCATTGGCAAAGACAATGAAAAGTATGGGCCCCATCCAAGAGCCTTGTGGTATCCCCCCATTCAAGGAAACCAAACTAGAAAAAACAGATCCAAGCTTAATACGCTGCTTTCTGTCACAAAGGAAAGATGCCACCCAGGAAATTGAGGCAAAATCAACATCAAGTCGTCAATAAGGACATTGTAGTCCACCAGGTTTTTTACAATCAAGAAGGAGCACTCTGACCTCTTGGCGAACATCAGTAGATTTGTAGCATTCATGGAGAAAGTTAACTAATGCGTCAACCGTTGATACCCCTTTAGAGCACCCAAACTGGTTAAGGATGATTTTATCCTTAACTTGCTCCCATATTCTTTCAACAACTACCCTCTCTAAAATTTTAACTGTACATGATGTTAAGGAAATTGGCCGGAGGTCTTTTTCAACTGACCTAGGGGGTTTACACTTTGGAATCGGAACTACGTCCGCACACCTCCATATCTCTGGGATAAACCCCTCTCTTATACAACAGTTAAAAATTGAGCACAAGGGGTTGGCTAAAATATGAGAGAACTCTTTTAGGACCCAAGGGGGGATACAATAGTGATCAAAGTCCATTTACCTGAGACTACTTCAATTAAAATTGTTATGGTTACAGCAATTCACATTCCTTGAAATCAAGACTGGTATTGGCCTATGCTTATTCTTGCCGGCTCTACAACCCCTGGGTTTAGTCATGCAAACTATGTTCAGCCTTGCTAGTTAGCACAGCAATAAACTTTTTAATGTTTTATCCCACTTTTTGACGATTTAATGACTTGGTGATAGTGAGCAGACTGTGTATATTTAAACCAACATAACTATTACAATTACGATGACACAAACAGCCTTTGGTTGTATAGCAGTACCAGTGAAGATGGCCCTTGATGATTAAATTGTTTTGGCCTGTGTTTCTTGTGTTAAAATTTGGGGAGGTTTTTAAAACAATTAAACTCTAGAAAAACTGTGTCTTCTTTGAGTAGTCAAATCCTCACCATGTGCACTGAAGTTTATTCCAAATTGCAGTGATATATATCATGTATACAGTATTAGAATTTCAAGAATAATGCATTTTTCGTAAACACTTTTGTTGTCATTATGTTAAAGGAGTTTTGCAAACAACCTAAAAACCTACATCACGCTGAGTAAGAAGAAACCAAAGGAAGATGTGTGTAGTATCGATGGCAAAATATGCTCTGTAAGCAAATATATTGCATTAATAGAAATCCATGTCTTATTTCTAGTTTGAGTCTGGGAGGCCCATGAGATTTTGGTCCTAATGGTAGATTATGTGGATATATATATGATATTCTTGATGCTGTTATAATGTAAATTCATTTTTATGTACCCTGATGGGCAAGATGATCACTATGTATAAATTGTATGTGATATATTTTGAATTGTGAGAGAACATGTAGCTTAGTAGTGGTTCAGTTATACTTACCATCTAACCAAGTGTATTACTGTAGGTTCAAATCTTACCAAAGCCAGCATCTTTTCTTACATCCAGAGCCTTGTCCAGACTATCACATTTTATTTGAAGGAAACATGTGACATGCCTAAATATGGTCATGATGACATCACATCATGACCACCATATATGAGCATACAACAGATTTTTGTCCAAAAAAAAATTAATAAGTGTGGACAAAGTTTCCACAAGTTTCATAACTACACTTGGTTTAAATCTGAAGTTTGTCCTACAAGTTACGAGTTTCTCACTATTGAATGAAAACAGAATGAAATTAAATATTATATAATTGTATCTATGTGTGCAAGTGTACATACTCTATGTACATGCAACTGAATTGGATACATTTAGGCTGCTTTTATGAATCTATCACTCATTTGATGAAATTAAATTATTTCACCCTGATTTTGCCCCCTCACTGATTGTCCCCCTCACAACAGAGCAATTTCAACATTGCCTTGATGAACATTGGTGCACCAGCTGCTGGCATGAATGCCGCTGGACGTGGGTTTGTGAGGAGTTGTCTGCTGCAAGGGTATCGGGTTCTCGGTGTGGCTGATGGATTCACCGGTCTGTTAAATGATGACGTAAGTTGGAATACATTCACTATTAGGATGTACAAGATTGTAAACAATATAGTAGAATAGATTATGAATGATTTTATATAATTATATTTTTTGTCACTTTTTAAAAATTATTTTTCCAGGTGAAACCTTTAGGGTGGATGGATGTATCCTCCTGGATTTCTGAAGGAGGATCAAATCTGGGAACAAATAGGTAAGAATTACCCTACTATAAAAATAGTGCAGTCCAGTATTATAATTTCATATTGTAGTTTCTTATCACATAGAGCGGATAAAGAAAAATTCAACATGCCTCATAAAAGCGCAACCACTAACACCATGGTTATTATTAGTGGTGTTTTTTATTTACTTTACTTTGTTTTTAGGAACATACCAGATACAAACTTAAAAGAAGTGGCTGAAAAATTTCGACAACATAACATTCATGCACTGATGATCGTTGGAGGATTCGAGGTTTGTAAATATTAAAAATAGAAAAAGAAAGTATAGTTGACTTGACAATTATAAGATAGAATTATTATGATGCTATATAAGCTAAGGTGCCATACATTATTTTATTTAATTTATTTTTTATTTTATTTTACAAATCACGCCCAACAGCGGATAACCCGCCACTTACAATGTGGATTAAGAATAAAATATAAATATATGAATATATATAATTAATGTTAAAACTTAAAATTACAGAAATCAGAAAGAACATAACAAATAATGAATATCAGGTGAAAAAACCCCATAGAAACAAAAATAAAATCATCTTTATAAAAAAGCAAAGCATAAAAGCCATAAGAAATATTGTGAATAAATCATCATCATCATTTACCTCATTGTCATAATCATCATTGTCATCATCATAATCTTCATCGTCATCATCAGTTTCTTTCCAAACAAAATCATCATTATTATTACTTTTATTAGTTCGCTTCAATTTAACTAACCATTCATGTTTCTTATTCTTTAAAACAAAGTGTTTCTAAAAAGGTGATGTGATTTTTTTTTCAATGGTTATCTGATTCCAATCAGCTGTTTTTGATGGGACATCCTGTCTTGTGACTCTGTCAATGAACAGTATTATCGACGTCTCAGTTTCAACTGTTGCCACTGGCGTCCCCTGCACAAAATCAAATAAATAAACCGCAACTTCCCTTGCAAAAAATCAAATAAATAAACTTCACCCGGAAAAACCCTGACATGAAAGCTTGTTTATTTTAAGGTGAACATATCATGGTTGTAGATAATGAGGATTAACAGCCTTGGCCTACTTCAGTAGCTGAAAACGGCCTCTATGCATTTGCTCTTTGCTGGTTAAAATGCCTGCTTTAAATCTTGGGGTACTAGGCTCAAATCTTGTCTCAGTCTAATAAAACAACTCCACAAGCCTCTGAATAAAACTTGAGCCCTTCCAAGACTATGAAATTCTATTTGAGAAAAACATGTGACATACCTAAATATGGTTACGATGACATCACATCACAACCATATATAGGCACATCATGTTCATATATGGGCATACAACAGTTTTTTGTGAAAGAAAATTTGATAGTGTGGGCAAGAGCTTTAATAGCATATCTTTCATCATGTGCTTAGTCACTTGTTGAATAATGAATGCTAGTCTATAATAAACACCATCTAAAGCAAACATACAAGGGTCCCATGGTCTTCCACAACTCGCGGGACTCTTCCGGAAATTGGGGAGTTGTCCTGCACTCTCGTAAGCAAGCAAGAATTTCCCAGAAATTAACCCATTTACAACATATTCATGTTTTCACTGTGTTATCAATTGCTCACGGAAGTCAGTGGCAATGGGTATCATAATGTACAGCAAATTAATATTAATGTGTTAAGAAAGCTGATTAACGAGATCAATGGCGGAATTTAATGGGAGGCAGCCGGTGGTGGATTTAATGGGAGGCAGCCGGCCTGGCTTTCAACTCCCCCCCCCCCCCCCCCCCCCCCAAATTGTTCAATATTATAAAAGAAAAGGGAAAAAAGAAACTTATATTCAAGAGTGTGAGAGTGCCATTTTCAGCCATCTAGAGGTGCCATCATATATTTTTTATTATCATTTTTTAAAAACCAAGCTTTTGGTTTCATGTTCAAACAAACAGGAGGCATCAAAGATGATGCCGATGGCAGTTTGACATCTGAGTTTGTGGAAGTGATGTCATTATTTTACTGTATAAGCTAGGATTTACAGGCAGCAGATGACATATTTCATGATCAATGTCACTGTCAGCTATAATATTTTGATGTAACCCTTGATTTTATTTTCATTAATAATAGTTGGATTTGTATAGCTCGCATCATGCAAAAAAGCCTTTATGCTGTCTCTTATACACATCTTTAAAAAAACAAATTTTCTGGAGCAACTGCTCCCGTCTTCAGGGTTAGAGTAGAAATGACACAAAACACTTAATGTCTAATTAAAGCAGTATAGGCCTAGATGTATATTGTACATAAACAGTCGGCATAATAAAGTAGAAATTAATAGAACTTGAAACATTAGAGTGGTGGGAAAGTTAAGACGAATAAAGAGTTCAGAGATGAAAGGTGAAGTTCGCTAAAAAGTCCAGATCTTTGTTAGGTCCATGGATGTGAGTTTTAAGTTTGATAATCAAGGAAAGTTCTGAAAGGTGGCAATAAATGAGTGGAGCTGAAGTTAGAGATGATAGATTGTCAATAGAATAGTGGGGCAACTTAAAGTGCTGGGCTACAGTTTAAGGCATCTGCATAGACAGCAGAAGGTCCCGAGTTCGAATCATGGTTGGGGAATTTTTTTTTTCACTCAGAGATTGCTTTTCTTTCATTTCACTTTATTCATATAAATGAAAACATCAGTATAAAAAGCAGTCACAAGTCGTGGTTCAAAAGCCAAATTGTATGTGAGCGTTACAATTTCAGTAATAATTTAATATATACAAAAAATAAATTATGAATATAAATCTAAGAATTGAGACAATATATACAGTAATTAATTATGAATATAAAAATTGAGACAATATATACAGTTTAATAGTCCTGCACAAAACAAATATGCAGTTGATAGTTTTGCTGGAACTTTAAAACAAACAGTAGTGTAAGGTTATACAAAATGACGGCAAAAACTTATGTTATTAAATATCACATTCTGATTGGTCAGTTGTTAAGTTTGAGACCGTAGTAAGCAGCAAGCTTCCTATTGAAAGGTCTAGGGGTGAAGTCTAAAACTAAGCACTTGTAATTTTGGACACTTCATCCATGTTGTCATTTAATAATTACTTAATTAAAGATTAGTTATTGTGCAAGTAACCTTTAGTTTTCTACTGATGAAAAACCCTTGAAACCTCCTGAAAGCACCCTCTAAACAGCTGTAAAATTCCTTATAAACAGTTGTTAGTTAATACCAAATTGGTGTTCAATCACCTTTACACATCAAATCGTAAATAGTTAAACAATTTGTACTGACTGGCAACCTTTAGCCCCTTAAAACAAATTAATTGATAAACATTGTTTGGGACAGGAAATAATTAAAGGGTATGTATAGCCTATTCCCATAAATCATCACCAAATAAGGTCAATAACTTTTTTATGGTTAATTTATGTAATTTAGTAGTTAGCTGATCCAATGGATAATTAATGGAAATGCACATAACCTGGAGTAAAATAGAGATTGTTTATTTCCCCATCAGATACTTTGGTGGTGTTTATTATACAGGTGAAAAAGGATGGATGGGTGTAGAATAATCAAATTGGTGTACAAGGGTAGTGGATTTATACACTTTGAACTTGCAATTTAATAGGTTGCAGTGATTTAAGTGTAGGCAGCCTAGTTGTTCTGATTAAATTATGTTGGTTGATTTATTTTATTTAAAAATTAAAAAAATACAAAGATACAGGTTTGCTGCCTTAATGCAGAAAGCAGGAACAATTCTTTAACTTTTACCCAATTAACTTTTACACATTATTTTCTACCCCACAATTTATGAGTTGTACTTCTGAATGAAACCAACGAGGGGTAGGTCATTTCACCTTAACAGTGATCCTCACCCTCATAAAAACACATTACTTGTTTTGTATGAGGAAGAAACATTAAAATTGATGTAATGTAATGTAATGTATTGTCAAGAATGACAATGTTCCAATAAAGAACGAAACGTAGAATCAACTATGGTCTCACGTCTGTCATTTTTCGGAGTCAGCATACTCATATTCTAATTACGTATAATCAGTGGATCCTTTGGTCTATGATCTTTAGTAGCGCTACCGTTCTGATTTATTGTTTTTCCATGATGAGAGAGAGATTAACCTGCTTGGGTTGGGATAATAATGTCATAATTCACAAAGACTAGGTCTATTTTAATCTCCAACATGCTTCTATTTTGGCTGCCTCCAGCAAAAGAACTACACACCCACCTTACTTTTCCAAGAATGTTTGGATGACAAGTCAATTTGGAAATCAAAAACATTTTGTTCAAAAGCGGGACATATGTTAAAAGTTGAGTACTGGGGGGAACAACCTCAGCAATGTTATTGTATAATAGGATAATGTGCTACCGCTCTACCACCACAACCAAAACAAAGCCAAAGTTAGTATACATAACTTTAGCATAAACAATTATGGTGCATTGATACACTTTGTACACTAGTTGTCTCTGTTGTATGTTGGGTATTGTATCACAGCATGTGTGAGGTGAATTTACCTTATAATTTTAAAAACTTATTATTTTTTATTAATTAAGCATTTGTAAAAAAAAAGTTTGCAGTTTCTGGATGTTCTAACTATGGGTGATTTATTCAGTATACTATATAGGGGCTAAAGTATAAATTGGTTTTTAACAACACCATGATTTATGTCTTGTGATAATCTAATGCTACTATGGCCTTAAGATAAATTTTATGGCAATGATGAAACATTTGTGTTTGAAGATATGTACAAAAATAGTTATTTAACCATAGAATCCTTCCGCTGGAAGACTATCTAATCAGACATGACATCTTTGCTGTAAAGAAGAAATCAAAGTCTTGTAAAAGTTCTCTGATTGCAACCAAAAGAAAGTGCCGAATGTTTGATTTCGACATAACCACAACAACATCAAGCAGTGTTCAGTGAGTAAAAATAAATCAGGGGACAAATCATCATTACACCTAATTCTGAATCATAGTACATATCTGTAGTAAGACACTTGCTCCATATTATTTTTCTATGACAAGTTTTGCTTTAGGCACCATATCATTTTTTAAAAACCAAGCTTTTGGTTTCATGTTCAAACAAACAGGAGGCATCAAAGATGATGCCGATGGCAGTTTGACATCTGAGTTTGTGGAAGTGATGTCATTATTTTACTGTATAAGCTAGGATTTACAGGCAGCAGATGACATATTTCATGATCAATGTCACTGTCAGCTATAATATTTTGATGTAACCCTTGATTTTATTTTCATTAATAATAGTTGGATTTGTATAGCGCGCTTCATGCAAAAAAGCCTTT